TGAGCTGCAAATTTATTTCCAGCAACAGAAGAAAATAAATTGTCTGAATGAGGTAATGTAACCAAACCTTTTCCAGTCTAATGATGAGCTTGTTGACCTCAATGACATAATGATCTATCCTGGCTGCCCGGTGCTTTTTAAACAAGTCCAGATGACTTCTGGTTACTCCTAAAAAGCAAAAGAAAAATATTTTTTTAGTGTCTTGCATTAACAAATATTGTTGGTTAGCAGTGCTACAGATGACAGGTTTTGCAGTCTCACCCAATTCCTGAGGCTCCCACATGTATGGGTCCACTCCACCATAGTAGAAGGACTCATAACTGCCAGTATCCGGTCTGTCGTCCCCATCCCTCTTCAGCAGTTTATCTTTGGCTTTCTTTGCTTTCTGAACCAAACCTGAAAACAGTGAGACAATACGTACAATGAAACAGTGCGTAAATGTATCCTGAAACTGTGATTCTTACGCTGATCCAGAGTTAATATTTATAATGACCACATTTTCAGTTTATTCATCCATCTTTCAACATGTGATTGTTGTTATCATGTTTTTCTATTTTCAAGTTCATTACAGTACTATTAATATGCAAATGAAGCCAACCTGCGCATGCATCCTTCTGGCCTTTTCATAATTCAATCATATTCCTATTATGTAGAAAGTTGCAGCAGCCAACACGGACTGCAAATTCATCCTGACAGCAATTTCCTATAATCCAGTACAGCAGTATTCTTATATTCAATTGCACTGTTTATACTTCTCCTTTTATATGTAAATTGTGTGTGTATATATATATATCCCCTACAAGCCACATGATCAGACTCTAGATATTTTTTTCTACTATTGGCTCTTTATGATGTAAATGAGATGTACTTAATATGTTCATCTGCAGCACACAGCTCCTGTAGTGACCATATAAGACTCATCCACACTCTTAGAGGAATCTAAGCTTAAATTCTTCACTTCTAACAAAGGATAAACTTCTAGCTGACCCAAGACCCAGTATAAGATAAACAAGAATACGTTTAACTTGTGACTAGTCACACTAGCAGGGTCCACAAATAATAATGGTAAATGGCCTGTATTTATATAGCGCTTTACTAGTCCCTAAGGACCCCAAAGCGCTTTACATATCCAGTCATCCACCCATTCACACACACATTCACACACTGGTGATGGCAAGCTACATTGTAGCCACAGCCACCCTGGGGCGCACTGACAGAGGCGAGGCTGCCGGACACTGGCGCCACCGGACCCTCTGACCACCACCAGTAGGCAACGGGTGAAGTGTCTTGCCCAAGGACACAACGACCGAGACTGTCCAAGCCGGGGCTCGAACCGGCAACCTTCCGATTACAAGGCGAACTCCCATAATACTAAACTTAAAATGAATAATAATAGGTTTCCTTTCAAAAGCCCTTTTTTTCCAGACTAGACAGTACACTGTACGATTTTGTGTCTTTAGAACACAACAGGAGTAAATTAGCCCTGTAGCCAAAGAGTAAAACACAGAATCTGCTACTAACTTTTTAGCTGTCCCCGAACATGGCGGTCATCTCCAGAGTGCTCCTCTTCATAGTGGTCTTGGAGTTGGTAGAATGACTGGAGGTCCTTTAGGCACAGTGGGCAAAGAAAACCCTCCTTTACTTCACCTGTGCCCTCAAAGGGGGGCGGGTAGCTGGAGGCCATGACAACAAGTGTCAGTGCTGCTGCAGAGGGGGTGCAAAGTGGCACGTTCTCACTTCGGTCCACATCTCATGGGGTGTGCAACCTACCCCACAGTAGCTCCATAATGCCTGAGAAAATCCCAGGATACTGAGGAATGAGAGAAGTACACTGAGGCCACATACAATACTGAACAAAAGACTTGAGCCACCGATAATTTCTTTATATTTGCAATGCAAAAACGTAGTTTGTACAATTCTAACAAGCTTGTAAGTCAATATTTGTTATGACCAGATTTATTCTTCAATACAGGATGAACTCTCTTAGGCAAACGCTCTTTTAATTTTTTTGGTCATCTTCGGGAATTTTTCTCCACGCCTCTTAAAAGAAATTCAAGGCTCTTCTTTGTATGTTGGCTGTCTTTTGTTCTATTCTCTGTCAAAATTACCCCCACACTGCTTCAACACTGTTAACGTCCAAGTTCTTCAGAGGCAAATCCACGATTGATAGTGTGACAGTGTGTGTTTTTCTATCCAGGTATGCTTTTACTGCATTAGAGGTGTGTGTTTGGGATCACTGTCATGTTGAAAAATGAACCCACTGCCAATCACACGCTTTCCAGATTCTATTGCATGGTGGCTCAGAATCTGGTGATGCTTTTTTGAGTTCACGATTCATTCAATTTTGCCAACATCCCCAACACAGCTGGCTGAAATGCAGCCCATAATCATGGTTTTAGACACTATTATACCTCTCCGTGGGGCTCCTCCATATAAAATAATGATCTGAATCAGAACCAAAACCAAAACTGTTGGTCTGAGAAGAGAGAATGTTTGTATGCTTGAATGATCCATAAGTGTTGACTTAACTCAATTTTAAGCTGCTTAAAAAACAAAAATACATTCCTCTGAGTATTGAACATCTTAAAAAACATTAATACATTAATTAATACTTACATTTAAGGTAATAATATTGATTAGAATACTATTATGCACATTCAGATAAATTACTATTACAACTGCATTATAATAGCTGAACTTAGCTTAAGTCGACCCACGCATTTAACGGGAAAAAACGCTTAACTGGACGGGAAGTATTAGGTTCCCTAGCTGCATACCAGAGGTGTTTTACTAAGTGATAGCTGGATACGAGCCATGAAAGGACTTACCTTTATTGTTTATTATTTAGGCTAACTTTGGGCGCCGTTATACCACACAGAGGATGTGGCGTTAGCAGGAGAAAGCTAGCAGCTGCTCTCGCCTTCTTTTGCAATCGTTTCTCCCCTCACGCTGTTCGAAAACGCGACATTAACAAACTTCCAACTGCACAAAAGCAAACAAATGCCTACTGACTATTGGACGCGATAAAAAAAAATCTGCACTTAGCCTACAAATGAGCCCGACAGTAGCTGTGTTGTTGACAGTTCGAGTTTTCACTGACAGAAGCACAACAGCAGCGCCAGCAGCCCTGCCTGGTCATGTGACTGACATCCAGTCGGTATGGAAGGAGAGGAGGGACAAAACTTGATTTTGCGGTTGGCGCTCCATCAGGAAAGTTCTCCGCAATGTAAGTACATATTTATTATATCCAACTTTTGGTTGTCTGTATTTTGTGCAAACCTGCACTGCTACCGTAAACAAACCATTTTTTAACTCTAACAACAGTTTGTCATTCCCGATGGAGGGTGATGGGAAAAATTCAAGGCTGGATAACTAAGGGTGTGTTTTTTGTGGTTGGGATGTGTGGTTGGGTTTGGCCAGCTTCATTAACTGCAACTACGAGCCTTAAGGTGAATCCAGCTGTACTGTGTAACCCTAGAACCTTTATTTGATCCAGTTTCAGTTTGTATAAGCTACAGGTCCCTAGTTTTATCCTACAGCATTTTTTCACTCGTTAAAACACAGTTTAAAGGATTCTTGGAGTGTGCACTTAGCTGACTGGCATTTATTGACAAGAGGGTACGAAGCAATCCACGGAGAATAGGTGAATAGTATGGACTCCCATCTCAGTTTCGACCTGTCTCATGGGCTTCACAAAATGATATATTGTGCAAATATTAATTTTTGATTTTCTTTTTCAAGAGAACATTCTTTAATATTCTTTTTAAGCATTTATAACTTTTAAAAAAAAGAAATAATAATTTATTTAGTTAAATTACTTATTATCACTGTTGGCACCAAGAGCACAGCCTGTCCTGGTGGCTCACAAGCCGTTTTATTGGAAGGGCTCATAGACAAAAAGTGATGCAAACACTAATAGAATCAATCAATCAATCTATCTATCTATCTATCTATCTATCTATCTATCTATCTATCTATCTATCTATCTATCTATCTATCTATCTATCTATCTATCTATCTATCTCTCTCTCTGTGTGTGTGTGTGTGTGTGTGTGTGTGTGTGTGTGTGTAGCTCATTATATAATAAACATTATATAATAAACACTTTGCCAGTCCACTGGCACTTCTGCTAGAGTTGTGAGTGTTCGGCGAAACATCTCCAATATTAGGTCTCCATCGTTAACTCACATGCTTGATGAATAATTTGCATATTGATCAGGCTGGTGGACAGCTGCTCCCAAGGCTCTGATGGAATGAGCCTAATTAAGCTGGGGAGTGGATATCTGACACACTCTGTCTGTTACTGAACTGCATAAATCATTCTCTAAGAGGCTTAGGCAGGGTGACTACTTTGGACTACATACTAATTAGGCTTGTGTTGAATCAACAGTTTAATGGTGCACCATGAAGCATTGCATTTGCTGGAACTAAAGCAAACCATACGTTTTTACCAATGCGTTTATTGTCCAACAAAAACATTGGTGGCTGACTTTAAGGCAATGGCAGCTTTTAATTTATAACATTAGCTTCAAATTACGTAAACCATGCAGTAATGTAGAAAAATAAGCAGTGACACAATTTATTTGCTGTGATATTCATTATATTTTACATGAGTAGAAAATAATGAAACGCTAATCGAACAGTGGAGGGAGCTTTTATGTGTAAACATAGACACTTTAATTTGATCTTAACACAAGCTGAACTGACGAGCGCCTGTTGCCTCACAGAGGCAACATCGCTAAAACCATCTGACTAATGTTTTAATCATCTGCCTCAATGTAAGAATAAATAATCTCATGTTATTTATATCGATAGCTATTAAAAGATCAACATATGGCCCCAACCCTTCTGAAAAAACAAAACAAAAACGTCTGTACAGCTAAATAGTTATTCCAAAGTTTGGATGGCAATTACGCATGAGCTCTCCAAGAAAATGTCAGACAAATGGCTTGCGGTAATGTCTCAAATGTCTTCAAAAGAACAAGCGGTGGCACAAAAGGTTTAATGATCTTTTTTTCATTTTTTATAATTCATTGTGGTCATTTAATTTGTACATTTATTTGTTTACAACACAGCGAAATACGCACTCCTGTCTAATCTACTCTCCATCCACTGCAAACCTTTTACCCGGGTGTTGTCTCTTCTCCTCACCGTGGCCCTTGTTAACGTTGTCTAAAAAGTCGAGCAGCAGGCTGGTCTTGCTGCAGCTCGCAGGGTCCAAAACGTCACACGGACTGTTTGTGCCTAAATCCGGACTCGAGTTATCCCAAAACCGTTTCCCAGGGTGCTGACGCTTTTCCATCTCAGCGAGGTCTTCTTCTCCATCCGCGTCCGCATCCCCGTCGCCGTCCTCATCCTCTAGAAGACGCTTACCTGGGTGCTGGCGTTTGCTGTGCAGCACCAGGTAACGCTTGCCTGGGTGTTGCCGTTTTGAAAGTTCACTGAGCAGGAGGATGGGGTTGTCAGAACTGTGACCCGCCGTGGAGCGCTTTCCCGGGTGCTGCCTTTTCTGCAGCTCTAGGAAAGAGTGCGTTTCATCTTCGCGCTTGCCCGGGTGCTGTCTTTTTTGAACATCAAAGTACTGTTCATCCTCGTCCTCTTCTCTCCTTCCTGGATGCTGCCGCTTCTCCAAATCATCACTATATCTCTTACCAGGGTGCTGTCGTTTTGTCACCCATTCTGGCTGAGAGTAATAGCCGTCTGGAAGAAAACAAGAGAGGAAAGTGGCTCTTAAATGTTTCAGAAGTCACTGATAAAAACCCGGTTTCTCTCTACCGCGTGCGCAGATAGTCGACCTGTTTCTTTGATTATTTATTTATTTATTTTTTAATTATAAAGGAGACATATTCTCTTGCATTGCCGATGTTAACTGTTTAGCAATTACTTAAACAAAATGTCTCCAAATGATACCTGAAAAGTGCGCACGAAACTGTAAACTACTGAGAATGTGCTGCAACTTTCAGGTACATCTAAGATATACCCGAAGTATCAGTATCGTATGAAATAAGATTTTATGACATTTTCTTAACTCAGAAAATAACATATGTTTTACGCACCATTTCTTCCGTCTTCATCCTGCAGCTTTTTGAGAATGGACCGTAACAGGAGAGTCTCTGCTCTCTCTAAAATAATGTCGTCTATGGTCTTTCGGTCAGTCTCATCCTCAGCAGACATGCTCTGTCCTCCAGACACCATCAAGTTGCAGACCGTTAGAGATGCAAGGATAAGCAGACATGTCGACTTCATGGTAATTTAGTTTTTCGTCTGAAACAGATCACGGCAGATAGGAAATATTAAACAGAAACAATATTAGTCTACTCTGCGCCACTGTATTTAAGTCAATTTTGGGACCAGACGTTTCGTTTTTGAATATAATTTTTTAAGTACAATTTTTATTTTTATTTTTTATCTTGAGAAATCCAGTTTTAGCAAAGCTGCTAACCAAGCCTTTGAGGCTTTGAGATCGCAGCAGCTTTGAAGATTGGTTTTTACAAAGAAATCTAAGAGAACTCTAAAGTCTCACCAAATAAATATGAATAAAACATGATGCATGAGATCTATCCAGATCAATTAAAGAGCAACCCTTAACCAGCAGACATATTTACATTTCCAATGAGATTAGTCTAAAAGCCTCACCTGGTAAAATATTGTCCTTTCCCCAGTTTCTGGCACTACCGGCAGTGATAATAGTTGCTTTCAGTCGCTTGCAGCAGTTGGTGACCTTAGAGGCCAAGTCTAGAGGTATGAGCAGATAACTTTCCGTCCCGGCATTTATACGAAACGGTCACTGTCGTCACACCAACACTGGAGTAATTTTTCAGGATCCTTCGTCCCTATTGATGTCACCAAGTCGTGCGCAACTGGATGTGGTGAATGATCGGCCAATAGGAGCTTTTGCTCGATATATATCTATATCTATATCTATGTCTATCTATCTATCTATCTATCTATCTATCTATCTATCTATCTATCTATCTATCTATCTATCTATCTATCTATCTATCTATCTATCTATCTATCTATCTATCCGTCTGTCTGTGTGTGTGTGTGTGTGTGTGTGTGTGTGTGTGTGTGTGTGTGTGTGTGTGTGTGTGCAGTGAAATGTAAACAAAAGCAACAACAACAACAACAAACAAACAATGACAGACTGACAGAAGGCAGGATTTATGTGAGATTTATGTGATGAATATGTGAAAAAAAGAACAACTTTATTTTTAAAAGTTGCAAAATTCATTTGAGTGTAATGCACTAGTTTATAATATATATATGTCTCTGTGTGTATTCCGTGCTTTTTTCATTTTATTTTAGTATGTACTGTTTTTACTGCTTCTCTTAGATGATTACATAAACGGTCAGTATCTTATCATAAAATGTGGACATCTCCCATGGTGTGCCAACGAGGGCTGTAGCATGATGTGGGCTATTCATGCTTTTCTTAAATACCCTTAGGTCATGGGGCTCAGGAGGGTGGGATCACCCCATCTGGTTCTTCTGAGCACATACTGTATAGCCTAATGTGGTTTCTGGTCACGAAGCAGCAGTGCTGAATGTATCAGAGGTGGGTCTAACAAGTTTTACATGGCTGAGTGGGATGTTGACTCACTAAGCAACCAGAACAGGCAGAATGTGAAGTCTTCTGAAGCAGTTTTATTGTTTAATAACCTCTAGATATGTTTTTCCCTTCTCTTTCAACAGAATTAAATGTTACCCAAACCTGATTGTTCCACTCTGCCTGGCACTATCATATATGTAGCTATAGCTCATCAATTGCTTTAGTGTGTGATCTTACAGTATCTAAGGTTCACTAAAGCTATAGGTGGTTTTCACTCATTGCTTCACATTTCAAATCACATTCAGAAAGTGAAAATAGTCCACTTTTTTCTGGTTGTATTAACTGGACCAGAGCTGGCTATACTTAGAGTATTTCCACAGGTGAAAAACCCACAGGTGAACTTTACATATTAATGGGTCATTTCATGCAAATGCAACATCAGCCCTTTTCTCACAGTCAGGTGTCATTTGCAAGTGTTTGAAAACAGCTGCAGACATTTGCTTCCAAAGTTTCTTTCTGTACAAAATAATATCTGCAGTGCTTGAAATTCATATCATTCATATAGCTGACAGGCAAATACAGTTGGGTGCTTTTATAATAGCTGGTCTTGGTTATGAGGGCTTGACTTCAAAGACGTTTTTAAGTAAATTGCTGACAGCAATAACTCTGGATTGTTTATGAAACTATGTATTTCTTCAAGAAAATAGTTATTGTCAGGTAAATTTTGCGCTTGTGCTGCCGTTTTTTATGAGACTTGTCTTGGACTACATTCCAGATCTCATTAAACTACCTGTATAAAACTGCCTGTGTCCATTATGTAGAGTCATATCATTCCATCATCTGGATGAACTCCTCTCCAGTCTCACTCTGTCTGTGATGAATGTCAGCATGAATTGAATTGAGTGTGTAATGCTGTAATTGCCTGCTTTCAGTGTGCTGTCACGTCCAATACTTCAAGCAGGTTTGAAGTCACATGGTTAAAAATAGCAAATCAATTTTAAAATCATTCTTTCCACTGTTTTAATGAGCTTTACCGAAAGTCTAACTTAATTTTTTAATTTTTATCAGTCTCAGTTACATATTTCTGTGACGCTGAAATAATGATATTGTTAGTTCAGTAACAAAATGAGGTTAATGATTGGGTTAAAAGGTTTTAAAAGTGTTCACAGAATGTACAAGCCCACCACTGAAGCTTCTTTCCATGAGCAGTGTAAAGAAGGAAGGATAATTTCCCATAAGGACCAGTCTCTGTCTGATAGTGTGTTCTTACTGCGCTGCTTCAAACTGACACATAAAGTGACAGTAGTACAATTAGGACATGTCTGATCTGTATAGGCACCTCCTTACACCTGTCATGTAGTTCCCTCCCTCGTATAATGCTGAGAGGGCAACTACAAGTCTGAAGGAACCAATTAATTGCCCAAGAGTGTACATAGTTGGTTTTTAAGCAGTTTAAAAGGGTGGCATGTGCTTCGATCAGTGAAAGTCTTGTGATTCCACAGAACGTGTTCAGTGAATGTGGTGTCCTCGTGAGTGCAGATGTGAAACAATTAAAGAAGATGGAGTGAATGCTGCAGGTGTAGCGGCATTTAAAATATTCTCCTCTTATCCCTCTTAGACGTGGAATAAAACACAGCGTCCTTTCTTTTCATTCACTCTCATTCATCCTCCACAAACACTTGACACGAAAAACTTTTAGAGGTGGGAAATCACAGCATTAGAATTCTGGGCTGCATTACGTACCTCAGGAGGAGGTGATAGGTTAAGTGTACACCCTGTGCGTTGGGAGAAAATAATAAGACTCATTACCCTCTGCACTGTGTTTGCTCCAGCCTGGTTCGGTTTAGGGTTGTATATAGTCACAATGAACTTCTTCTTCTTGTTAAGAAACTTGATGCATTGCTGTGTGTTGTCCTGATTGTCTATCTGTATTTGGCTGCAGAGATGAGAAACCCCTATCAGATTTATTTTACTATTATTAAAGTATTAAAGTCTGCTTTGAAAAGGTCATACCACAGGACAGTAAAACATAAAACCAGTTAAATTAAATGAAAAAGACATACACCAAAGTGTAAATTTATATATTTTGCTGCCATTTACGCAAAATATATTTCATGTATAGATGACTTTTTATTCTCAAGTTGACAGTTACTAAAGGGAAACTCCCCAAGGCAGCCAATGAGTCAGCATAAGAAAAATAAGGGTGTGGAGCAGAAGGAAGAAGTGCAGTAATCCAGTATTCTTTCACAATAAGTAAAAGGACAAAAGGCTGGGTATAAACTAAGGAAGTATATACAATCTGTAACACTATGGCTTATTGTTCAGTCTGAGATTTTTGATTATTATATGTTATACAAAGTTTGTTTTACCACAGCCAATTAATAACCAGTTATAACACTGATTATTCAGGATGATTAAGTTCAGTAAAGCTAGACTGAGTTTACTTTGTTTTGTAAAACAGAACCCAGCTCCTGTTGTGTGTCTTCAGTGTGCAGATCAGGAGAGTCTTTTTCATGAGTCGACTTGGTGTCTGTTTGGAAGTCAACATTTATGGTAAAGGAAAACAAACACACACACTCAGATCATGTATACTGCAATATACCATCATGAATACTGCACACAGAGCCCCTAGACAAATACTGCTCACATTCACTTAAATTGCTTCACCTGCTATCTCCTGAGATCCAAATTTTCAATAATGGGTTTTCATTGACGCAAATTTCTTTCAGCAGGGTGATTTATCAAGTGTTAGGCTGACCGTGATATCATCCAGCAGGATGTGATCTGTATTTAGATCATCACGTGTATTTTTTTGGACCTACTGAGCGGTGAGACAAGAGTAAAAAAAGAATCTGCTACAAATGAGCATAAATATATAAAACAGACATGTCTAACTGTCGGCTCTGATTTCCTCAGGCACGCTAAACAAAGCAGTGACTTTAAAATGAAGCACTCGTATTTCACCGTTATTTTAAAAACCTGTGAAAAAGCAACATTAAGATTCCTTTTGAGTCATCTTTCTGAAAATCTAACATTCACGGTGCTTTGTTTTCTGGTTGAATGACACCATCTTCAAAGTAATTTGCAAAATAGTGCAAATATTAGTTTCTTTATTTGAGATTTTTTAGTCAGGCATCTCAACAAGTTGGAGTCAGCACCAGAACCCTGAATAGGTCATGGTTGATTTAATCAGGAGTTAAGATTGTAACATTTGAGGAATAAGATTTTAAATGTTTTGTCTTTGAGGAATCAGAGAAGTAGCAGAAGTAGAAGCTGACAGTGATCTATAACATATAACTGGTATCGGCCTTATGTTGTCCAATATGCACCAATACTAAAGCATTTTTTCTTCATAGATGATAATGCAGAATAAGACAGTTGCTGTCATTAGGAAATGGTGTCAATACATAGGAGTTAAGCAGACAGGGGTACAGATTTAGGCTGTTGTTCATAAGTTAATGACCAGATTGTGGGAAAACATGCTGTCAACTTCAGAAATAATGACCAGATTATTTCCTATCTGTCACTCTGTTATCTTAAATGCTTATCCAGTTCAGCATAGCCTGAGGGGCTGGAGCTTATCCTAGCTGTCACTGGGCAAAAGTTGGGCTGTAACCTGTACAGGCCGCCAGTCAGGGTTAACACATAGAGACAGACAAACAGTCACAGTCACACTCAAACCTACAGCTGATTTAGAATCATTAATTAACACAACATGTATGTTTCTGAACTGTAGAAAGAAGCCAGAATAACCAAAGAGAAACCATGTACGCACAGGGAGAACAAGCAGCATTGGTATCAAAACTCCAGCTTCAGTTAACAAAAGGGATAGGGATAAGGCGATTAAAAATGCTGGTTGAGTAACTGGCTTGACACTTGACTTGGCACAGACAGCGTTGGAGGAAAGAAGCAGAAGACTGAGGTCTGAACATATTTCACTTGAAAGGTCAGCTGAGTGACCAGTTCAAGATGCTGAGATACTCCACTGAACATTTTAGAGGCTCCAGTGGGCTTACAGCTTCTGATTTGTGTAATTTTAGCTACAGTACCCATGTGAAACCAAAATATCAAAATATCTACCTCGGGAGGTAATATCGTTTTCTGAACATATCTTAAAGGTTAATAAAAAATGATAGGACAACAGGAAGACATATGCCACACGGTGAATGGTGCTCTTCTCTTAGAGACTTTGAAAAGCTGTATA